GCCTTGGACACTTCCAGGGATCCAGGGGCAGCCACAGCTTCTCTGGGAATTCTATCCCAGCCCCTCCCCACCCTCCCAGCCAGGAATTCCTTCCCAATATCCCATCCAACCCTGCCCTCTGTCAGTCTGAAGCCATTCCCCTTGTCCTGTCCCTCCATCCCTTGTCCAACATCCCTCTCCAGTGATGCTCAATTGAAATGAAAGGTGTGGAAGTGTTTTGCTTTCCTGCTCTCTGATCCATCTCTCCAACCTAAATTTCCCCTCTTTCAGTGTGAAGCCATTCCCCCTTGTCCTGTCCCTCCAGCCCTTGGAAATAGTCTCTCTCCATCTTTCCCAGAGCTCCTTCAGGCCCTGCAAGGCCACAATCAGGTCACTCCAAAGCTTCTCCTCTCCAGGCTGAACAATCCCAGCTTTCCCAGCCTGTCTCCACGGGGAAGCTGCTCCAGCCCCTGCTAATTTTCCCCTGCCCAGCACAACCCATCCCCTAAAATGGCACTTCCAGCCCCTCCCCTGGAATGCTGTGGAACCCCCTGGATGCTGCCAAGGATGGGAAGTTCCTGCTGCTGCCTCTCCCACCCTGCCCTGTTTGCCAGAGGGACTTTTCCAGAGCCAAGGGATTCACCTGCTTTTTAATCCCACACATTCCAGCTGCTAAACCACCCTCCTGCAGCAGCCACTGGAGCTGCTCCTCAGCCAGGACCTGCTGGAACACCCAGGAATCCTGCCCTGCCTTCTTCAGGAGCTGCTTTACAGCTGGAATTAAAGCTGGGTCAAAGTTTCCATTCCCTAATGGAAAGGAGACAGTTCCCAGTTCCAGTTTCCCTGGAAAAGTTCTTGGTTGCTCAGCAAATTGCTTCGGGGCTTTTGTTTGATGGTTTAGAAATCTCATTTTCATGGTTTAGCTTTGTCAAAGTGAATAAACCCAACGGCTTTGCTGGGATTTACTGGGATTTACAACCTGAAAGATTCCCTCAAAGCGCTCAAAAATCCTAAAAGTGGAAAACAAGTAGAGAAAAAGCTGCTTTTTGTCGTGTATTTTCCCAGCTCAACATCATTAATTTAATCACCATGAGGCTCAATCCTGCCCAGTTCAGCTCCAATCCTGGAAAAAGTCCCTCTCCTCCCTTTTTACAACCCCTTTTAGGCACTGGAAGGGGCTCCAAGGTCTCCCTGGAGCTTTCCCTTCTCCGGGGTGAACATTGTAGCTGCTCCTCTTCACAAAAAATCAAATTAAGGCGTCATTTGGGATGATTTTATCCGTAAATTAATACACCCTGGGAATTAGCATCATTTTATCCAGAGGCTACAGGGAGCTGAGCACCTGAACTTCCCCTTTTCCAGCTGGAACCAGCCAGTTTTCCCTCGGTGTGGCCCACGGGCTCCTTTAAAATAAGAAGAATTAGGAAGAAAACAAGAGTTTGCAAAGGTATGATCGGAAAACCATGGAATGGTTTGGGTTGGAAGGGGCCTGAAGGATCTTTTCCACCCCTGGGTGGGAGCCTGAGCTGGAGGTTTTGAGTTGTGAGGCTCCAGTTTGTTGGTGGTGGATATTTAGCTCCACCTATGGGCACCTCCACGGAGCTCTGGAAATCCTTGGAATTAAAGTGTTTGGAAAAGTTTGAAGGCTCTAATTCCAGAATCGAGGTTCAAGGAACCTTCAGGATCATCCAGCCATAGAAGCACCACCAGGATCACCCCTAATCCATGTCCCCAGTGGCAACATCCAGACACAACCCGGGGTGTTCGGGGAGTTTTAGGACTTCCAAAATATGGACAAAAAGATGATTCCATGAAATATCTGCCCAGAGAGGTTGAGGACTCACCATCCCTGGAAGTGTCCAAGGCCAGGTTGGAGCAACCTGGGCTGGTGGAAGGTGTCCCTGCCCATGGCACGGGGTGGCACTGGATGGGCTTTGAGGTCCCTCCCAACCCAAACCAATCTGGGATTCTGAGTATGAGGAGAACACACAGAAAAAAAATAAATTAGATGCAACCTCATATTTCTGATCACTTCTTTCTCTCTGTTGGTTTGTGTCTTTCTGGAACAGGACTTGGACTGTCAGTTCTCTGAATCCCAGAACCACCAGGGTTGGGAGAGACCTCCAGGATCATCCAGTCCCACCCCAGCACTACCAGGATCACCCCTAATCCATATTCCCAAGGGCCACATCCAGACACCTCTGGAACACTCCCAGACACAGGGACTCCACCACCTCCCTGGGACACTTATTCCAAGGCCTGACCACTCCTGCAGGGAAAAATTATTCCTAATTTCTCATCTGAACCTGCTCTGGTGCAGTTTGAGGCCGTTTCCTCTCCTCCTTCCAACCCCCTCCTGTCAGGGGGTTGCAGAGAGCAACGAGGTCCCCCCTGAGCCTCCTCTTCTCCAGATAAACCCCCCCAGCTCAGCTGCTCCTCACAGGACACGTTTTCCAGACCTTTCCCTTCCCTTTAACTGGAAATATTGAAAATTTGACGTGATTTGAAAGCTCAGTGTCAAAATTTTAAGAGTATCTCAGAGAAGCTCTTTAACTGGTTTGGTTTCTTTTTAGGCAGTTTGTGAATTGAAAATTAAAAAAAAAAATTTAAAAAGCGTTTAAAAGGTGTGATTTTCTGCAAAAAGCACGTTGGGAAAGGCAGGATAAAAACATCTTGTCTTCCCCAAGATGAAAAGATTATCTAGGAATATCTAGAAAAGATTTATCTAGAGAAGATTTTCTAGGAAAAGATTTATTTGGTTATTAAGGATGTGACGTGGCAATAGATCCTCCCCCCCCTTTGCAAATTAAGTCGTTTGGAAACCTAAAAAAATCCCAATTTTGGTGTGATTTTTGGGCAGAAACACCACGACAACTTACAAGAAGACAACAAAATATTTTAATTTAAATATGCCCCGTGCTGTACAACTGTAGAAAATACCAACTAAGCATTCAATTGGACATTTAAAAAAAAAAAAAGGAAAAAAAGGAACAGGAAAAGCCAAGGAGACACAACCAGGAACACGCTGTCACCATTCCAAGATTTCCAGGTTTTCCCAGTGGCCACTTTCTCGGCTTGGGAAACGATTAAAAATCACGGATTTGGGTGGTTTTAGTTGAAAAGTAGCACTGTTTTTTTTTTTCAGGGAACAGAAGAGCAGCTCCCTGTGATGGAGAAGTCATGTTTGGATTTGCCATCCTGGAAAAAGGACGGGAATTCTTCCATTTTTAATTGAATTGAAACACTTGAGTCCAGCAGTAATTGGAGAAACGTGGGAAAAAAAATCTTGGAAAGGCTTAAAGGCAGTTGTGGCAAACCTGCTTCACTCCTTTATTTTGGGGATGGACCCAGCTGGATGTTGGACCCCCAAAATAACCTGATTTTCCCCCTGTGTCCATCCAACAGCTCCAGCAAGACGTGGAATTAGCTCTTTTTAACACCAAGGATCAGAGTTTCTTCCAGTTTCCAGGGAACAGTGATCAAACCCAGAGCAGAAAATTCCATATATTCCTGTTCTCCAGTTGCTGGTTTCCATCTCACTTGGCAATGCCAGTCCTTGTTTCTCAGCTTGGGATGGCTCCATTCCACATCTTCGGTTTTAAAATAGGTATTATTTCAAAAAAAACAAGGGTATTTAAGTCAATATTTGCTTCAAACTCCTTCTCAGACCAACTGTGGCAAAAGCAGAGCAAGAAAGAACCACATCTGGATCCCTAAAAAATTTCCAATCAACTTCCTAAGACCCATAAATGATATTTTCCACAAAAATCAGTTGCTGTCTCTTCCCAAAAAATACCTGTTTCAAGGTGAGGATCTCCAGTTTTAAAAAATCAAGTAATAAAATACATTTCTCTCTCATCTTTTTGGGGGTTTTTTTGCCTTGAAATTTGGGATTATCAGGACTGTCTGGAACATATAAAACCCCTAAAGCTTCTCCCACGCATTCCCCATGATTGAAATGTGCATTACTTGGCATTAAAGCAATTTAACACCAGCAAAGCTAAGAAAGTTTGGGAGTTCTGGATGTACAAAGCCAGTAGAAAAAGATCCAAGTGTAGTAGGAATGGACAAGGAAAAGGCACCATCTCCCCTCCCTGTAATTTTACAATCACCATTCAACCTTTTCTCACCAAAAAAATGCAGATTCAAGTCCCTCCATCACTGGAAAAATTCTAAATATGCACCATTAGCCTTATTTATACCCTTAAAAGTCCTTTTTTCCCCCCTTCCCCAAGTCAAAGCTACTGAAGATATAAATTATCAGAACTTAAATAATTTAAAATCCATTTATTTCAGCAAGTCTCCCGTTGCACCTTTTTTTTTCCCCCATTGTTTTGCCAGATAAAACCCCACTGGAGGCATTTCAAAGGTGGAAAATTTTTAAAAGCACGAGTCCCCCCAGCACCTAAATGAGGGGGCTGAAGGGATTTTGTGCCTGCTGGAAAAAGCAGTGCCAATAAAAACAAATATAAATATATGTATTTACACATCTAGAGGGAAATCCGGGCTAATAAATACTTTAAACCTCCCCGATTTCCTCGTGAGAAACTCTAGAAAATAACTCAGAAGTTACTTTAGAAGACCAAAGATACACATGCACAAAATGCAGGATGAGAAAAAGTACTTTTTTTTTTTTGAGTTTTAAGGACTTCAATCCTTAAAACCTTCTCTGTCATCCTGAGATTTTTCCACACAAAGTCATTATTTAAGGATTTAAGAGTCAGGCAAGGAAAAGCTCCCCCAGCTGCTTCACCCCCCAAAAAATAAACCTATTTTTTTGTCTTGTTTTGTCTCCAAAACATCATCTTCTCCCAGCGATTCGGGAACACACCCAAGGGATCAACCTGCAGCCTCAAAAAAT